GATGGATTGAATTGCTCAGTGATTATGATTGCACGATTGAGTATCACACTGGTCGTGCAAATGTGGTGGCATACGCACTTAGTAGGAAGTCTCAAGGCCGAATTAATGCTTTATACGCTTGTCATATCCCTCTTCTTGCAAATTTGAGATCCACTAGAGTGAAGTAAGGGGTGGAAGATCGGGAGGAAGCTTTGCTTGCTAGTTTCTAGGTCAGACCAATTTTAATTGATCTTGTGCTCGAGCCTCAGATGAATGATGAAAAAGCTCAGGAGTGAATTCAGACTTTATAACGGAGGAAAAAGAAAGATCTTAGAGTTCGGGAGTCTGATGGTATGCTTATGCAAGAAAAACGAATGTACGTGCCGAAAAATGCTGAATTAAAGAAAGAAATTCTTGATGAAGCTCATATATCGGCATATGCAATGCATTTTTGGGGTACTAAAATGTGTCATACCATTCGACCATTTTATTACTGGCCTGACATGAAAAGAGAAATTGCTGAATATGTGAGTAGGTGTGCCATTTGTCAACAGGTCAAAGCTGAAAGGAAAAAGCCATTTGGATTGATGCAGCCACTTGCCATACCACAGTGGAAATGGGAAGATATCAACATGGATTTCATGTATAAACTTCCTCGTACATGAAATGGTTATGATAGTATTTGGGTGATAGTGGATTGGTTTACTAAATCAGCGCATTTTATTCCAGTTGGGGAGAAATATTTTTTAAGCCGATTAGCTGAGTTCTTCATATCAAAGATTTTTAAATATAACGGGGTTCCAGTTAGTATTATTTCTGATTGGGATCCTAAGTTTACTTCTAAGTTCTGGGTGGCATTTTAGGAGGCTCTTGGTTCGAGGTTACTCTATAGTATATCATATCATCCTTAAACAGACGGGCAATCTGAGAAGACTATTAAGACATTAGAGGATATGCTGAGATCTTCGGTATTGCAGTTTGGTGATGCTTGGCATAAACGTTTAGATTTGATGGAATTCGCCTACAATAACAGCTACCATTTGAGCATTGGTATGTCACCATTTGAGGCACTTTATGGTAAGTCATGTTGTACGCCATTATGCTGGTTAAAGAGTATTGGTGGGCCCTGAGATTGTAGATGGGACTACTAAGAATATTTAGGTAATTAAGTCTAACCTGAAAGCGGTTCAGGAACGACAAAAGAGTCTAGCAGACAAGCATGCCACTGATCGGGTGTATAAAGTTGGTGATTGGGTGTTTTTAAAGTTATCACCGTGGAAAGGTGTAGTACGGTTCGGGAAAAATGGTAAGCTAAATCCTAGGTACATCGGACTGTATCAGATCACCAAGCGAGTCGGTGAAGTTGCTTACAGGCTTGGGCTGCCTCCAAAGTTATCTAAAGTGCACGATGTTTTTCTTGTTTCCATGCTTCGTCATTATATCTCAGATCCATCACATGTGATACCTCCTCAACCATTGGAAATTAATCCATATTTAACTTATGACGAGGAGCCAGTGATGATTTTGGATTGGAAAGACAAGGTTTTGAAGAATAAGACCGTACGCTTAGTGAAAGTTTTGTGGAGAAATCACTCGGTGGATGAAGCCACCTGGGAGACGGAGGATCGTACGAGAGATTTGTACCCATGCTTGTTTATTGGATATTAATGGTTGTATATTATTGTATGAAATTTCGGGAACGAAATTTTCCTAAGGGGGGTGGATTGTAAAATCCCACATTGCCCAGGGGTGAGGATGTTGTAACCTTTATATGTATATTCCTATCTCTACCTAGCACGAGGCCTTTTGGGAGCTCACTGGCTTCGGGTTCCTTTGGAAATCCGAAGTTACGCGAGATTGGGCTGAAGCAATCCCAGGATGGGTGACCCACTGGGAAGTTCTGTTCACGTGAGTTCCCAAAAACAAAACCGTGAGGGCATGGTCGGGGCCCAAAACCGACAATATTGTGCTACGGTAGAGTCGAGCCCGGGATGTGATGGGGGTCCGGGCTGGGATGTGACAATTTGGTATCAGAGCCAATCCCTGGCCAGAAGTGTGGCGACGAGGACGTCGGGCCCCTAAGGGGGGTGGATTGTAAGATCCCACATCGCCCAGGGGTGGGGATCTTGTAACCTTTATATGTATATTCTCATCTCTGCCTAGCACAAGGCCTTTTGGGAGCTCACTGGTTTCAGGTTCCATTGGAACTCCGAAGTTAAGCGGGATTGGGCTGGAGCAATCCCAGGATGGGTGACCCACTGGGAAGTTCTGCTTGCATGAGTTCCCAAAACCAAAATCGTGAGGGCGTGGTCGGAGCCCAAAACGGACAATATCGTGTTACGGTGGAGTTGAGCCTGAGATATGGTAGGGGCCCGGGCTGGGATGTGACAACTAGTAATGATATTCTTTATTTATTCTTTTTATTCTTTAAATCTGTTGAAAGGCAACAACTGCAATGGTGTGCAAAGGCTAGGCTTAAGTCTTTCAGAACATGGATTACTTTGATAAGAAATAAATAAAGAACGCACGTTATTAACTGTCATTGAAGCATAATAGTTGGTCCTCAAACATAAAATACTCAATTAGTCATGCATCAATTAAATCTGAAAGAAACAGTCCAAGTTGAACCCTTGCTTCTCAAATAATTACGGACTATTTCTTTAGCAAGACAACACTGTCAACAAAACATTATCAACAGATGAACAGATTGAATTACTTATGTATAAATAATCAACATCAACAACACAAGACAGTGCTAAAATTAAAGTAAGATAAAAAATTGGGTCATATATTTATTCAGTTCAGTTCAGATTAAAGTAATAGTCATTTATACATGTTTGAGGTGGCTGGAATAGAAACATAAACAAAATATAAAGGAAAAACAAAGAAGGTATATAGAAGAGAGCTGTTTAGAAGCTGAGCTAATCCTATTGGAGTGTCAAAGAGGAAAGAAAAATAAGGAGTACGGTATGGAGGTGGGTGAAATGGAGATGGGACTTTGTTGGTTTACTTCTTGTGGGAGCGAGGCATGGAGGTGGGTTTGAAAGATCTGGCATGCAATGCAAAGGGGGAAAAAATAAAGGGGAAAAACTATATGTTTTAATGCTAGGCTGGGGGAGTGAGGCATGGAGGTGGGTTTGAAATCAGCTTGCTAAAAAGAAGACAGCTGTTAGACCTCAAGATTCAGTTTTAATAAAACCAATTGTTTCATTTGAAAAGACATGAGAAATGAACCAAATTGCGTTGTAAAGTATAAAAGTTTCACAATAAAGAAGGGTGTGGGCTCATCTTTGAGAAACCGTAAACCTCAAACTTTGCAGCTGCTTACTAATCGTGCCTTTAGTCGCCTTGCTGCCATCTTGTATGCCAAATGGGAAGTTTGTTAAAGAAATGGTGCCTAGAGGCAAGTTGTGGGTGCCTTGTCTTAATGCTAGGCTCAGTATTAATCTCCATCTTTGACTGGTCCTTCGCAATGCTAGGCCTAGTATTTTAGTTGGTGCTCCATGATTGGGTTTGCTAAAGATCCAGGGGATTGGTCCGCCATCATTCCTTTTAAAATTAACTTGTCAGTAAATCAAAGTCTACAATGATGGACATCTTCAATGACTGGCTGAATTTCTGCCACAATGAATGTTACTGACACCTCCATGCCTTGAGGTATTTACACTTGATAAGCGTTTTCACCAAGACACTTTTGTAGTTGAAATGGACTGACCACCTTCTATTAGTAGAGCATGCACATGAATCTCTTCTTGGGTTTCTTCCAATTTTCCCACATAGAAAAGCAGTTAGAACTTTTTCCCCTGTCCATGCCTTGAGGTAGTTATACTTGATAAGCGTTTTCACCAAGACGCTTTTGTAGTCGAAATGGACTATCCGCCTTCTATTACTAGAGCATGCACATGAATCTCTTCTTGGGTTTCTTCCAATTTTCCTAGATAGAAACATAGTTAGCACTTTTTCCTCTATCCATTTACCCACACTTCTCCATGATGGACCCAAAATTATGTTTCTTCAGTCTTTCAAGTTTGTTTTGATGATTTGGAAACCATGGTAGTGAGCTTCTCCATCATAAGAGATGGCAAGCATCAATGTGCACTAGGATCACACCATACTTCATCTTGATAAAACTTCAAAATAGAGAATGATACAAGACAATGAATATGAACATTTACCTCAATCCATTTTGTGAACCAAGAAAGCTTGTAAAAGTGGGTAATTCTTAGTTTTAAATTTGAGCTTGTTCAAGCATTTCTAGTGATATTATGTTATTTAAACTTCCATCAATTATCACGTTGCATAACTTCCTATTGGGAATCAATCTGGTGTGTTGCTTCACCAGTCTTTGCCTTCAACATATAAAGTCTTCAATCTTCATGCTTCATTGAATCACTAGAGTTTCTCTATTATAACTCCATGTATTCATTCTAAACGGGATCTTGATCCTCTGTTTAAGAATCTTCCAAAAATTGATCTCCGTTTTCTATGCAATATTTAAGCGCGCGTGTCTGAATATAGAAGACACTAAACGCCCATTTGATAACCATTTTGTTTTTAGTTTTTGGTTTTCACTTTGTTTGCCTGGGATATGAGGAAAGTATACGGGGGAAAGGTGGGACGAAGAGGGGTGATGCAAGAGAGGGGAAGAAGTAAAGAAGAATGAATGAAAACAAAAGTTTGGAAGTGAAAACAACTGAAAGTAGTTGTTGGTTTTTGATTTTTTTAGTTTTCATTTTGTATATTTAATATTTATATATCTTCTATATCTCTCTCACCATCTTTCCTGCACTCTTCTATATGCATCATTTCTCCCATGTATCTCCCCTTTCTCTCAAACAAAACAAAAAAACAAAAAAAATGAAAACTATAAGTTATTAACAAAATGATTTATCAAATGGGATCTTTGAATTGTCCTTAAATATGCATAATATGGCATCAATTGACGTACGCTTGAAAATTTTCCTCACCATCATTTTTGACATCTAGATAGTATGTGTCTTAATCTATGGTACTCCTACCAGGTCCGAGTTCAATCAGATCCAGCTGGACGTCTTGTTATAACAGGTCAACCAGAGCAGATTAACAATCCTTGGGGTATTACACCATTTAAGAAGGTATCTAATACTTACCATTAGCTTCTAAGGTTCGTGCATGGATCAGAAATAAATATATATATTACCTGTGGGATCCCAAAAACCCAAAGATGGTTTACTCATATTTCCAAATTAGCAGAAAAGATTAAAATAATGAAGGGAAGAAAACACCAAATTGAATGGGAGATGTATTGGCACTCCAAATAGTCATCATGGACTCCTCCCTAAAAAAAAAAAAAACACACAATGGAGGGAGAAGTGCATGATGACAATTTTGGAGTGCTAATAACATTGCCAAACTGAACCACAAGAGCTTTATGACTTTGAAATGGGTAATCATATGGGATTTTCATTGGGGAGCATCACATTTTTTGTTGGTATACGAAACTGATACCTAAAATATGTTATCAAACGATTATGTATGTAAAGAGGCATGAGGTTTTATAAAACTTAATGATAAATAAAAAATAAAAATAAAACATGTTTTATTGATGCATACAGTAATATGTAAGGTACTTGCAGGCATATATATGCAGTCTTTGTACAATAATGATTTCATAGTTTCTTAAGTTATGGACATCCCTGCAAAAAGAAAATAATCATCCAAATCAGAAACTGTTTGGTCACCTTGTAGTTCAGGCTGAAAAATTATCATTAAGTTGTTTATCCAAGAATAGGAGTCGGATCCTTTCCCAATCTTGCTCGAGTTACCAAAAGTGCAGGTTGGATCTCAGGTTGGTTGGGTTTGTCCAAACCAATGCCGACTCCAACGATGGTATATTTTGGACCAAGGCTTTGATTTGGTTATTTGTGAGCATTTGTGGTCTTTAAACTCTCCTATCTGCCATGAGAGTTGGAGGGAGATAAATATGTTAAGATTTAACAATATATTACAAGTTTTTTATTTTTGTTATCACAGTTCCATTATAGTTTATGTTGCGTTTTCCAGGTTGTGAGCTTACCTGGCAAAATTGATCCGCTCCAAACATCTGCTGTGGTTAGCCTGCATGGGCGGTTATTCGTGCGTGTTCCTTTTGAACAGTGATCGCTTTGAAATTTCATCTCATGGATCAGCTGAATAATTTTTTAGGGTGTTTGCAATATTTTTCCTCTTTTTTTTCTTTTGGGGTTGTGAAATAATGTTGCAACTAGTTGGTGTTAATTCATGCTAGTTTATCAACTTCAGTGCTAATTTATTAGCTAGTTAGATTGATTTACTGCTGCTCGTCGATGTCGAGTTGCAAATAACCCATTTCAATGTGTTATAAATTCCGACTCTCCTCTAGATCTTGTTTTTTATGTATCCAACAATAGACTAAACAAATTAGAGAATAACTACAAACGCACAATTGATTCGATAACTTTTTTCTACATCTAGTTGTGGTTTCCCCAGGTAGAGGGAAACCATGGCTTCTTTGATAATTAATGGAGTATACAGTACTTTTGCAAATCCTATAACTAATCCATTTTCTCTCGGATGTCTTTGGTTGTTCTCCTTTTTTTTCTAGCCTTGCGGCACCTTATTTATATGTATAGGGTGTTGGAAAGTTTTTACACTTTCTTTTCTTTTTCTAATTATGCTTCTAGGATTCCAATTTAAATTGTACAAAGAAACTTAATTCTTTCCTAATACAATCCTAAACAAAATAGGACACTGACTTTGACAAGCAATTTGCTTCCCCACCCCCAAAAAAAGGTTTCAGTTGTTTGGGCAATGGTGTCGAAAACATGCTTTGATTGAAGAATATATAAAAAAATTTGGCGAAAACTAAGGTCCAATGTGTTTTTTTCGCTTGTAGGTGAAATGTGAGACGTCTTAAGTTTGAATCTTATAAATGGCAAATTTAATACTAATTATGACTTTAAGTGAATGGATATGGAGTTTGATAGATGTTGCAACTCTCAAATTCAAGCGTATTGAGTATGGACTCTTATGAAGTCAATAAAAGTCATTGTATTGAATAAAGACATTTTTATGAGTTCGTGGATTTTAAAAGGGTAAATTACATTTTACCCTCTCAGGTGTGAGATCGATTTCAATTTCTTACAATATCTTTAAAACATTTCACTTTCATACCTTACCTACTATTTTATTTCAATATAGTACCTCCGTTACATTTTTCATCCATAGATTGGTTAAGAGTTGACGTGGTTGCAACATTTGCGCCACGTGGCAAAAAAAAAAATTTAATATTTTTTTCAAACCTGAATCTTCTCAAAAAAAAAAAAAAAAAATTGAAACTTCGAACCCACCCCACCTTCCCCGCAACCCCTCCCCACCCCTCTTCTCCCTCCTAAGCCTCCCAACCACCTCCCCTCCTTCGACCTGGAGTTCTCCCTCCAGCTCCACCCCTACGACGCCCTCTTCAATTCCTAGCACAAGGAATACAAATCCCTCACCCTTACCAGATTCGGCCGCGACTCGGCCCGAGTGAACTCGCTCCATACCAAGCTCCAGTTGGCACTCCAGGGGATAAAAAAAGGGGATCTCGAGCCCATGCACGCCAAGATCCAACCCCAGGACCTCTCCACCCCCGTCGTCTCCGGCGTTAGCCAGGGTAGCGGCGAGTACTTCTCCTGGATCGGCGTTGAGACTCTGGCAAAATTGTTCTACATGGTGCTCGACACCGGTAGTGATGTCAACTGGCTCCAATGCGGCCCCTACTCCGATTGCTACCAGCAATCTGACCCAGTTTTCAACCTGGCCGGATCTTTCACCTACAGCCAACTCTCGGGCTCGATTAACAAAATCGCGTCGGGATGCGGACATGATAATGAGGGATTAGGTGAAGAGAGTGGAGAAGAGGGAGGTGGTTGGGAGGCTCGGCTCTGGAGGGGGAAGAAGCGTGGGGAGGGGTTGCGGGGAAGGTGGGGTAGGTTCTACGTTTTTCAGTTTTTTTTTTTTTTTTTTTTTTTTTTTTCTTTTGTTGAAGATTCCGGTTATTTTAAAAAAAATAAAAAAATTTGCCACATGGCACATAGGTGGTAGCCACGTTAGCTCTTAATGGATTAATTGATGGAAAATGTAACAGAGGTACTATATTGATATAAAATAATAGGTGAGGTATGAAAGTGAAATGTTTTAAAGATGTTGTAAGGAATTGAAATTGACCTCAAACCTGAGAGGGGTAAAATGTAATTTACCCATTTAAAAAAGTTATGGACTTTGATAAACTTCGAGGGATTTTATGATATTGCATTGTCGTATCAAATCCAACATCTTCCACTAAGATTTTGACGGATTTCTTTTTCTCACTTCTTTAATGATATACTTCACTATAATGCAATGAGGATCACTACTTCCACTTCCACCACACCATGTGGTCACTACGACTTAACGATGACCATCCCCACTACCCTATTGTCGATATTGCCATCATCATTGCCACCATCATCACCAATGTTGCTGCCACCGCCACCATTATATCATTCTCCTACCACCACCTTGTGATACTCATCATCATATAAACACCTCTTAGGCCTATCACCCCCACTCCCAGGGGAGGATCTACTAAGGGACCAAGGTGGTCCCAGGACCACCCAAGTCTGGGTGTGCGGTGGTAATGGCGGCCAATGAAGAAAGAACCAACAGGCAGCCTAAAGAAGAAAGAGAAAAACTACTACTCTTTATTTCTTAACTCTCGATTGGATGGTGTCGTTTCTTCTATTCGTTTACTGAGTATTTGCTAGGCTGTTTATTTTTGGGCCCTAGCTTATAGAAACTAATGCCAGGTCACTTTATTTATATCTTTGCCTTTCTGTTTTTCATTGCTGATCAATTTCATCTTGGTTGTCTGTGTGTTCTTCTCTTTGGTTCCTTTTTTTTTTGTGTTTTCATTTTCATTTGTTTCCTTTGTTTTCTAATTATAGAGGATAATTCTACACTTATTTTACAATAAGAGAAGGAAAAAAGTTTGAATTGTTTGCTTCGTTTTAAAACCAGTCATAAAAGTAAAAGTAAAGACATTTAATTAGGTATAAAATGCTGAAATTGAAACCTTGTGGTCCAAAAAGAAATTCTCGCTTAATTATTCAAAAGATGCAAAATTATTCACCGAACTCAAACATGCCATACAAAGAAGCAACTCGGTGTTTACCTCATTGAAGCGTTCATTCAATTTCTTAGATTTTAAGAGAAATAACGTTGTGGCTTAAAAAAAATTGAAAAAAATGGTCAAATTAATTGGACAATAATTAAAAAAAAACAAATCTCAAGATAAATCAGCACATTAAATAGCAAGTTAGGTGGCGCACATTGATTGGCCAATGGCTAAAAAAAAGAAAAGAAATTGGGGTAATTTTGAAAGGGCACGTGGGTGGGATCGGAGAAAGAGAAAGTCTCTCTTCTTCCCCCCTCTTCTTCTTCGTTAGAACCAGAACTCCATTTCCAGAAGCTGTAAAATGCAGATCTTCATTCTTCCTTTCATTTGCCAGGCCGGGTAATTATCTTTAAGGAAAAAAAAATGAGAACTCGCACGCAGCCTACGCTGTGCTAGAGTAGGGAAACCTAAAAGGCCGGAAAACTAGAAATTTCATCACTTCCAATGGGACCAGAAAGGCAAACCACTGCTTTTGGGCTTGATTTTCGGAGAGGGGAGGGGCGGTAACCACTCCTCGCCCTCACGTAGCTTCGTCTATGTATATTGGGACCACTCAATGTTAAAATCCTTGATCCGCCACTGCCCACTCCTTCACCACACCAACACCACATTAGAAACATGCACTTACAAGAATGTGGAATAAAAACATTAAAATGTTCATGAGTTAAAGATTCTTTCGCGTGTAACAATTTTAGTCATAGCCCTTAATTGGTCCATCGGTAATAAAAAAAATAGTAAAAATTATTACAAAGTTTGTTAAATTATTTTGAACTCTACAAAAGTCTAGCATTAAACTCTCAAAAATCTGTAAAAACCTAGCATTAAAAGTCTGAATTTTATGGAGTTCCTATTAGTCAATAAAAGTCTACGAAAGTTAAAAAAGTCTTATTTATTTATACAAAATTTCTTACCACGCATCAATATTTTAATTTATTTATTTGTATTACACCCGCATTTTATAATATTGTCTTATCCCACATTTTATAGACACTACAAGCACAAGCATTCTACAATGCAAACAACAACAACAAATCATTCACCAGATGGGAATGTTGGGATGTTGTCAAAGATTGTCCCATATACAAATTTGTGCCAACCAGTCTAGAAGTTGTCATGCACGGCATCCCTTTACACAGTTTGTAAGAAGCAGACTCGGCCGAACAGGAAGGCGACACATTTGAAGAACGGGAAGGGACGCTTAAAGAAGTGCCGAAGTCGACTCGTCGGTCCCTAAGGCCTCAAGGTAAAAAAGCGGCAAAGAAAAAAGGGAGTTCTTCTAAGAATGACTACACAAAATATATGGACAAACTTGCTCGCCAAGGTGAACTGAACATGGCACGGGACGCGGCAAGAGATAAGGCAAAAGCTGTGTCTCTGCAAGAAATCTTAGTAGCTACTGAGAGACGTGATGCGGCTAATGAGAGACAAAGAGAAATACTTAATCTAGAAAGCCAGATGCTTAGAGAAGAAAGCATGGCTCAAGTAGATCATGACACTATGAACAAGCCTCTAGTAGGAATGTCTCCAAATTCTAAATATTTTTGGACATCAAAAAAAAAAAAGACGTGGTGCGAAGGAGGCGTGCAAGAGACGAGGAAACAAGTCGAGGGGGTTCTAGCTACACAGATCTTAGCAACGAAGATCCTAGCACCACATATCCTAACTCCTTAGACTTTATATAATTTCTTATTTATTTCTTGTACTTTATTTTTAGTACTTTATGTAATTTCTTATTTCTTTTTAGTACTTTATGTAATTTCTTATTTATTTGTAGTACTTTATGTAATTTCTTATTTATTTTTAGTACTTGATGTAATTTCTTATTTATTTGTAGTACTTTATTATTTTATAAAAAAATTAATAATATTTTAAATGGGCTGACATGGATCTCTTCACGTGATCTAAGAAGCAATGTGGATAATTGAGTGGGGTCGGACAACCAAATTAATCCAGAGGTAGTAGGAAAGAGATCCTCTCCATATCTCTTCCACCAAAGCCCAAGGGTCAAGTGATATGGGTCCTTAAAGTTTGATCCAACGGCTAAAAACAAGGTACCATTTTAAAAGTTATAATAATTTTAGCCGTTGGATCAAATTTCAAAGGTCCGGATCACTTGATCCTTAGGCTTTGGAGGGAGAGATTTGGAAAGGATCTCTTTCTGAGGTAGTAAACTTTGTCCTCTCGCTACTTTGCGGATTTGTCTAGTCATGTGAGAAGCGGGATGCCTGAAAGCATTACAGCTTCTTACTGACAAGAGTAAA